TACTAGAAGATCCAGTTACCGTAAGACTCAATCAGGAGTTTAATACAGGGCATCTGGGTGGCTCAATCGGTTAAGCATCTGACTGCGGCTCAGGTCATGATCTCAAAGTTTGTGAGTTCAAGCCCGGCATCAAGCTCTCTGTTGTCAGCTTGGGATTCTCTGTCCCCCTCTCTCTGCCCCTCCCCCACTCACACACACTCTCTCTCTCTCTCTTTCTCTCTCTCTCTCAAATAAAACACTTTAAAAAATGATACAAAAGAGTTTAATACAAATACGACTTCCCCGACTCAGCACTTCAGATCCTCCAGAGACTCCTTCTAGCATATGAGGCCAGTAAAGACGTGGTTCTCGGGGCACCTGGGTGACTCGGTTGGTTGAGCATCCAACTTCCACTCAGGTGATGATCTCGCGTTTCATGGGTTCAAGTCCCGAATCGGGCTCACTGCTCTCAGTGCAAAGCCGGCTTCAAATCCTCTTGTCCCCCTCTCTCCCTGCCCCTTCCCTGCTATCTCTCTCAAATAAAACATTAAAAAAAAAAGGACGTGGTTCTCAACCACACTGCACACCAACTGACATACCATGGGCTGGTGGCACAGAAGGAAAGAGCTAAGCACGAACTCTCAGCCTGCTGTATCCAAGCAAAAGTCATCCTTTTGAGTTATATGTATGACGGAGGAGGCCTCATTCCATCAGGTATGTCTTAGCAGAAACAAAGGCCAAGAACTGCAACGTCAGCACCAAGCCCCAGAGTCAGCACTACAGAAGGACAGTCCATGCTTTTATCACATGTACAGTGCTGATACTTTTTTCTAGAATGTTCCCAGAACCAGGAAGAATTTAGACTGGAGAATACTTACTGTGGTATCCCTGTATTCAGAATTTCCTCCATCAATGATGATGTCACCAGTGTCCAACAATGGTACCTGTAACCAGACACTAGCATTAAGGTGAGCCAAAGAAATGAAAGACAAAAACAGGATGTACCTCGAGCAATTAATACAAACAAGAATTTATCCCAAATAAATCCAGTCTAAAAGCGTATGTTGTTTCATTTTCAAAAATCCTCTCCGCGGCTACGGCTGGAGCCTACACGAAAGGTTAGGGCTAGCAACCCAGTCAGACCTCCCCACAACTAAGATAGTTCTCTTTAAAATTTGACAACAACCAGGGGCGCCTGGGTGGCTCAGTCGGTTAAGCGTCCGACTTCAGCTCAGGTCACGCTCTCATGGTCCGGGAGTTCGAGCCCCGCGTCGGGCTCTGGGCCGATGGCTCAGAACCTGGGGCCTGCTGTGGATTCTGTGTGTCTCTCTCTTTCTGCCCCTCCCCTGCTCATGCTCTGTCTCTCTCTGTGTCAAAAAGAAATAAAAACATTAAAAAAAAAGAGAAATAGGGGCGCCTGGGTGGCTCAGTCGGTTGGGCATCTGACTTCGGCTCAGGTCATGATCTCATAGTCCGTGAATTCGAGCCCCACGTCGGGCTCTGTGCTGACAGCTCAGAGCCTGGAGCCTGCTTCCAATTCTGTGTCTTCCCCTCCCCCATTCATGCTCTGTCTCTCTCTCTGTCTCAAAAATAAATAAACGTTAAAAAAATTTTTTTTAATTTGACAACGACCAAAACCTACTTGAAAGATTTTGTATTTCCAGTGCGTGCCCCTGGCTCGTTTACATTCCCAAACACTGGGAACAGGACTCGTTCTGAAGGATTACATCACGTCCTATAAAATCTCTGCACAGGGCAGAGTGGGGGTCCAGTGAACAGACATCAGGTGGTTTGGTGCCTGAGTGAGACGATCAGCCCCGTCTGGAGACGGCGGGAGGAGACCGGGCCTCGAACTACCACATCTTCCTACAGAACACAACTGGGCTGGCTTGGTCATTCATCATTCGGTCCACACCCCCCCACACCCACAGGGCTTCAGTGAACCTCACTTCGTATTTTCTTACGTTGAAGAATAAGCTACCACTTTCCAATCCGTTCTGTCACTAATCGTGACCAGCCTAGCATCTTGCTACACAAAAAGCTTGTTATGTCCTTCCCTTATCGCAGTGTTCTTCCTTTCTAGGTCATTTTTGTCTTTCGTGGTAGCACGCTGGTTACAAACCCCTCTCCCCGTGGAGACGCCCCCACTGTTAACAATGCTCCCGGAGAAAAGGAACGTTCACCCCTTGCCTTTGTTTGCTGGCACTACATTTCTCACCGAGAAACGTTTCTTCCAGACAGCTAATGCCTCGGGTTTTTTTCAGAACCCGAGAACCTGTTACCGTAGAATTGTTTAGGAGTAGCTTCATAAGTTATTTCCACGGGTGCCCCTTCGTCCATATGTTGCGTGTGGTTTTGCGTTTCGTTGTTGGAGGAAATAGCACCCCGAGGCTGCAGGGCACTGGCCGTGAGCTTGTCTCCGTGGATTGTCGGTGAGGTATGTTGAGGGAAGGGGCCCCAGAGGTGCCCCAGAAACAGCTCACAGCTACAGTGCCTCAATCAAATGCTGCCGGGCACACTCCCAGGGGAAAAGGCTGTTGTCCCCATCAGCTCCTCCTCTCCCACAGTCATCCCAGTGGGTGGGTGGCCATCAGCCCTTCTGTGAGGGGACAGACCCACCATCCCCTGATGACGCACAGCAGGGGAAAGTCTAAAGGGATCAGACTATAATTGTTACAGAACAAGGGTTAGCACCTACACAAAACACTCCCTCCTTGGCTGATAATCAGAGCCAGAAGTGTAACAGAGGCCTGCCTCCCAGAGGCCCTCTCTGGGACACTTGGCATCGGGTCACCCATCTGCCCCAGCACGGCCATTCCAGCCCTAACACATTTTTTTTTTTTCTTGCAAAAAAGATACACTTGCTAGAGCCAACAAATCATTGAGAAATAAGTACCCAGTATGTAGTTCCCAGGATTCCCTAAGGGGACCTCATCGTTTATATGAAGCAATACAACACTTTAAGTGTCGAGAAAAATGGGAAACCGACTTCTAAATTTCAGACACTAAGGTTTATTAGCGAATAGCACTAAACACGCATAACACCACGACCAAAACTGTGTTTCTGAATACCAAAGACAGAGACCAAGACTAGGGTTTCTGTCCCCATTGTTAATGAATTCTTACGGCAACGTCTCTCGTCTCTCGGTGGCCTCAGAATCTCATGCCTAAGGAATCATTACCACCTGAGGATGTGCTGTTACTCAAATTAGTGCCCGGTTGACGAACACTGAGACATGGACGCAGTTTTGTTTGAACTGAGCAGTTCATATCCAGAAATTGAAAAAGAAAAAAAAAAAATCTCTTAAGTAGAAAAGCGAGATCTAGCTAAGGGAAGAGACAGTTGCCCCGCTAGTAGCAGCTGGGGGGCAGGGCTGGCCTCACCAGTTTTTCAATGAAATCATCAACGGCTTGGCCAGCCTTCACCAGCAGTATGACGCGCCGCGGTTTCTTCAGCTTGGAGACCATCTCCTCCAAGGAGCGTGCTCCGACCACCTTGGTTCCCTTTGCCTCGTTGGCCAAGAAATCGTCCACTTTGGAGACCGTCCTATTAAAAGCACAAACCTAGAAGGCCGAAAAGGTCTGATTAGGAGATTCAGGACACAGAAGACCTTCAGACCCTGGATTAAGTGAACCCCAAGGCACGGAACTGAATATAAGCAAAGGGTGACTGCCCGAGGCAAATCAGGCTAGAGTCTGTCACTAGCTGATAGAGACTCAATCAAGTCTAGGAACCAGCTGCTGCAAACTGCTATCTTTTGTACCGAAACCACTTTAGTGTTTATAACTATTTAAACTTTTCTCTCTCCCCCGGTTCTCATTAGGCAATAAAGGTAGAGTTCTATACACCCAGCCGGATTTCTCCTGCTTAACATCCGGTAAGTTTATCCAGGCTTACAGAACTGACATCTATTTTGCAAGACTGTCCTTCAGAGGATTGCAGAGCTGGCCCTCCCACACCGCATGTGACCTGGTGCTTCTCTTTACCTTTGCAATAAACGTTCTAAGCAGCAACAGGGCATATACGAAGAGACCTAAGTTCCAGATTGTACAGGATCTTTGAAATCAGCCTCTGTGCACCAAGAACCCACAAGAGTGTGCCCTCCTGACTTACCACGAAGCCATGGTCATTCATGTTCAAAATTAAGTTCTGGCCCATGACAGCCAGTCCAATCAGTGCAATATCAGCTCTAAAAGACCGGGAAAAGGAACAAAGAAAAATGTGTCGGTTCCACTTTAATCCCTTCCAACTCAGGGGCCCAGAGTGTCCTAGCTTTTGCTATGAATACCTTGCCTTACCATTTCCTCTGTCCCCCTCCTCTCTTCTACCCCTGAGAACCCAGGCATGCGCCTCCAGGCCACCCTGCCCTCTGCCACTTCAAAGGACCTCAAGTTCTCTTGAGATCAACTAGACCTGCACGCAGGAGGGCATGCAATCTTTGCCGTGCTCACTGCCGGTGTCCCCGCTCCCACACGGGGGAGAAGCCCCTGCAGGCACAGCCGCCCACTGTCCAGCCTCTTCCCCTCCTGGCTCGGGCCCTGGCTGCCCTCGGCCATGCGGGTTCCCTCCCGCCCGGCCCTTTCTAGAAAGGGGGATCCGCCCGGCGCCGCCGCGAGGGGTAGAGGGCCCGGGCCCGAGGGGGCTGAGACCCTGAAGGTCCGAGGCTCCGGGCGCCACGAGGCCGTGCTCCGGCGACCCCCGGGGCCAAAGCGACTTCAGGCAGGTTCCGCCCTCCTCGCCGGCCCCCGTAAAGTTCCCCGGCGGTCCGCGAGCCGTCACTCACTGGGCCATGGCGGCGGCGACGGACCGGGCAGGAGCGGACAGAACCGGAGAGCTGAGAGCGCGCGGAGCGGCGACCGAGGAGGAGTCCCGCTCCTCCTTCGGCCCCCAGGCTCTGGCCGCGGCCTTCCGGCGCCGACCAATCGGGAGGAAGGGGCGGAGCTGTGCCACCACGCCATTGGCCCTTCCCGGCGCCTGTTAGACCACCTGAGGCAAACAGGCCCGCCCACTTCTGGGGCCGGCTCAGGAGAGCGCAGAGCACATCGATGGCGACGCCAAAGCAGAAGGGGCGGGGTCGCCGGGGACTGGTACGAGCGCGCTGGGCGAGAGGCTCTGGGCGCCGGGATAGCAGGCTGGGCGCGGCGCGGGCATAAGTCGGGGGGGGGGGAGGGGGGGCGCCTGGGCCAGGCACAGGGAACCGGGCAGGGGGCGCCCGGGACTAGCACAAGGGGCCGGGAGGGGCGCAGGCACGAGTGGAGGGGTGCGGGGCACCTGAGACAGGCACTGGGGGCAGGGGGCGGGGGCACAAGTGAAGGCGGCGGGGGGCGCGAGCTGGCGGGCGAAAGGGACAGCGGAGCTGGCAGGGCGGGGGACGCCTGGGACTGGCACTGGGGGTGGGGCGAGGCGGGGGGCTCCGGGGCAGGCACTAGCGACTGGGGGGGGGGGGCGCAAGCCGGGAGGCCCCGGGACCGAGGAGGGTGTCAGGCGCGCGGCGGGGTCGCCGGGGCTGGCGGAGGGGCGGCGGCGGGCGGCCCCACCCGGACCCGAGCAGAGGACGCTCGGGGCCGGGGCTCCGCTCGGTGGGAAGGGTGGCGGCTCACGTCGGGCCGTGCATTCCAGGGTCCCAGGCACTCGGACGCCGGTTGTCCGAGTGCCCCTCGCCCCTCCCATCGCGGCCGCGCACTGTGGGGTTCAACCCCGTCGGGGACCGAGGCTCGTTGCGGCCTGTGGGAGTAACGGGTGCCAGGAAATGTGGGACCCCACCCACGACCCTGCGCGGGGAGCGCGCAGCCCCAGTTGCAGGAAAAGCAGCGGGCGCAGAGCAGGCTGGGAACGAACTTGTTGCGGGGGTGATGGAGGTCGCGTCGTTGAACTTCCCGAACCCGCTGAGGAGCTGGAGGTGCCCCGCAGGCCTTCTCAGAAGTGCCCGGGTGCTCCAGGCATCTTCCTCTCCCAGCACTGAACCCTCCCGCCTCCTACAGCAGATGCTGCTGAACCAGGCTTGGCGCCTCCAGCACATTTAAGATTTTTTTGTGTTTCCATGAATCCTTCATGTCATCTAACGTGTACCTTGCACATAGTAAGTGCTCACCCGATAGAAAAGTCACACAGTGGGTAGTTAGTGACCCAGTTGTGACTGATTCAAGGCCAAGGCTAGTTCCATCACACCAAGTGCACAGGTTACTTTGTAATACAGATTTCGACAGGTAAAATAATTTCCATGCGAGCTTGTGTCCCACCCACTATGGTAGTTTTTTTTCCTGTTGGAAGTTGGGTATGAATAAATCACAGTAGCAGTATTTTTGAATGCAATGGAATATCCGAAAATTTTAAAACTCACGATCTACTTTATCTTCTATGTAAATATTTATGTGTATGGTTTTCTTCACTAAAGGCATTCTATGAATTTGTTCTTTTTCTTGAGTCGCTTCCATATTTGCCTGTTTTGTACCAGTCAGGCCTTACACGCCCGAAAAGGCTAATTTTCTTTTGTATACTCTCCCTTGAGCGAGGTGTTCATGGATTCTGAGGTTGACTCACTGTACAATGTCCAGGTGGGGCCAAGGTTAGAACAGCACTTCCTCCTGAGGAAGAGAAGTCCCTGTCCCGTGAGGCCTTTTCCTTCTTTCCTTCTTGCTTTTCCTGGGTACAGAAATAGACAACTGTAGGCAAGCCCAGAGTTTATTTTAGTTTTTGGTTCAACATTAGTAATTAAAAAAAACCTCCAGTACAGTTAACATACTTTGTTGTTAATAGTTTCAGGTATACAATGTAGTGATTCAACAATTTTGTACATTACTCAGTGCTCATCACAATAAATGTACCCTTTAAAAAAAAACAATAATCAGTTAAGCGTCCAACTTCGACTCAGGTCATGATCTCACAGTTCGTGGGTTCGAGCCCTGCGTCAGGCTCTGTGCTGACAGCTGGGAGCCTGGAGCCTGCTTCAGATTCTGTGCCTCCTTCTCTCTCTTTCCCTCCCCTGCTCATGCTCTCTCAATCTCTCTCTCTCTCTCAAAAATAAAATAAACATTAAAAGAAAATCTCTACCTGCAAAGTGACGCTCAAATTCATGACCCCAAGATCAAGAGTCGCATGTTCTACCGACTGAGCCAGCCAGGTGCCCCACAGTAAGCGTACTACTCTCCTAGTCTTCTATTTCACCCATCCCCACCCCCACTTCCCCTCTGCTAACCATCAGTTTGTTCTCTGTGGTTAAGTCTCTGTTTTTCTTTGTTTGTTGAATTCCACGTACGAGTAAAATCCTGTGGTATTTGTCTTTCTCGGACTTAACTTCTTTCACTTAGCATAATACACTCTAGTTCCATCCATGTTGCAAATGGGAAGATTTCATTCTTGTTTATGGCTCAATAGTATTCCAGTGTATATATACCACTCCTTTATCCATTCATCAGTCAACGGACATTAGGGAGGCTTCTGTAATTTGGCCATTGTAGATCACGCCGCAATAAACAGAGGGGTGCCTCTATCTTTCCGAATTAGTGTTTTCTTATTCTTGGGGTAAATACCCAGAAGTGGAATTACTGGATCATAGGGTAGTTCTATTTTTAATTTTTTGAGGAACCTCCATACTGTTTTCCACTGCGGCCGCACCGGTTAGCATTCCCGCCACAGGGCACCAGCGTTCCCCTTTCTCCACTTCCTCACCAACACCTGTTGTTTCTTGTGTTTTTAATTTCAGCCAAGAAAGCCCAGAATTTATCTTACAGCTACAAGCAAGGTGCCTGGCTGCCCTCAACACTTCCCTAAAGGGGGAAGGAAGTGACTATGGAAATGGCGGAGCCAAGCAAAACCAGGGAGGGCAGACCTTCCGTCACTGGTCACCGTTGAGGCAAAAGCCCTGCGCGGCCTGAGCCCCGGCCCTGCCCAAACAGGTGACAGTAGTTTTGGAGGAACCAGGCTGGTAGGAATCGTGGGGCTCTCCCGACCGAGTGTCTCCACCCTCCAGTGTGCGAGGCGGCTTGTTAAATGTGAATTCGGATACCACAGACCTGGGGGACGCCGGGCAGTGTGCATTTTATCCCTCCAGTGGGTTCTGACTGCAGGTGGCACACGGGCCACCTTTTGAAACGGTTCTCAAAGGGTGGTCTAGGACCCCTGGAGGTCCCTCATACCCTTTCAGGGAGAAGTGGGGACAAAACCTTTCTCCATAGCACCAGTAGGATCGGATTTGTCTTTTTCATCTTCATTCTCTTACGAGTGTCTAGTGGCATCTTCCAGAGGCTCTGTGACATGGGATCTGGAAGAGGTTACATGTAGAAGCAAATGAGAGAATCCGGCGGTCTTAAACTGTAGCGAGCTTGACATTAGAGAGATTTGCAGAACTGCCAGGCAGTAACACCAATCACCGAGTTTCCTTTTGTTTTGGGAACTTGTTATTAAAAACTGGTATTAATTTTTAAAATGGTAAATATTGGGCTGCCTACATGGCTCAGTCGGTTAGGCGTCGGACTCTTGATTTCGGCTCAGGTCATGGTCTGATGGCTGTGAGCCCCGTGTCGGGCTCTGTGCTGACAGTGTGGAGCCTACGTGGGATTCTCTCTCCCTCTCTCACTGCCCCTCCCTTGTCTTCTCTCAAAATAAGTAAGCTTCAAAGTCAATGAATTGGTAAATATTGATAAAACTCACATAAACAGCTCTTTGTATCATCGGTCATTTTTAGGAATGTAAAGGGGTCTGAGACCGGTGGTTTGTGAACCACTCATCTAAACCAACCCCTGTTTTACAGATGAGGAAATTGGGGCTCAGGGAAGCGGAACTTGCTTAATCAGAGACGTACACTAGAACTGCCCCTCTGGGCACAGATCAGATGCTCTCCAGGGTCCCTCTCAATAGAACCTGGGGTCCAGAGACAGACCCAGTGGTAGGACAGCACGTTATCACAGAAGTCAGATCAGATGGCTCCTCAAATGACGTGGAACATCTGTCTTTCTCGGCAGCTGCTTGATAGAGACAGGGAGGTATGGGTTTGGGGGTCACACTGCCCTTAGCTTGCTTCCATTCCACTTCTTTCTAGCTGTGCAGTATGGAGCAAGTTGTCAAGTCTCAGGAGTTTCCTCGTGTGTATATAAGGAGCGACAAAACCACAGAGGGTAGCTCTAGGGTGAAATGACTCAAACCAGGGCTTGTGTCTGGACTGAGTGCCCATATGCCAGCTTCTGTCTTTTTTTACAGAAAGGACACAGAGAGGAGAGATACAAACTGTAGTGGAGAATAGGACTGAAAGAGAACAAATCAGGGGTGCCTGGGTGACTCAGGTGAACATCTAGACTCTTGACTTCAGCTCAGGTCATGATCTCATGGTTCGTGAGTTCCAGCCCTGCGTGGGGCTCTGTACTGACAGCACAGAGCCTGTTTGGGATTCTGTCTCTCTCTCTTAATAAGTAAATAAGGAAGTAAATAAATAAACAAACAAACATTAAAAAAAAAAAAACCCACGGGGTGTTTGGGTGGCTCAGTCGGTTGGGTGTCTGACTTCAGCTCGGGTCATGATCTCACCATTCCCGAGTTTGGGCCCCGCATCGGGCTCTGTGCTGACAGCTCAGAGCCTGGAGCCTTCTGATTCTGTGCCTCCCTCTCTCTCTGGCCCTCCCCTGCTCGTGCTCTCTCTCTCTCGCTCTCGAAAATAAACATAAACCAACAAAAAACAAAAACACCCACATTTCTTCAGCCTTCCTGGTGCAGTCTTCTGGGAATAGAGGCAGAAAAGCAACTTTGCAGCTTGCTGCACAGCTTCTGAGTGGTTCCTAGAGTTCTAACTCAGCTGGCGATAAAATACCCCACTATTTGAATTGCTTGCTATGAAACTTCCCATTTGACAATGACATACCCATGACTCTCACAGTCTCCGTCTTCCTGATCCAAATGCTTGTCACCCCAAGCATCCTGTCTTCCTCCCCACAGTTACCACCTCTGTCCTACATCCCTTCTGGGCGCCCTAAGCAAGGTGCACGAGCATAGATGCCACATCAGTCTTGCTCCCAAGTGTGTCTATCACCTTCCTGTGCCTTATACTTAATAGATGGCCACCAACTGTTGCTGTCAAATGTCTGGTTTACAGTTGTGTTTTTAGATTTTTATTTATTTTTTATTTTTAAAAATTTTTTAAAAATTTTTTATACGTTTATTTTTGATAGAGACAGAGCACAAGTGGGGGAGGGGCAGAGAGAGAGAGGGAGACACAGAACCCGCAGCAGGCTCCAGGCTCCGAGCTGTCAGCACAGAGCCCAACGTGGGGCTCAAACTCACAAACCACAAGATCATGACCTGAGCTGAAGTCGGACCCTTAAGTGGCACCAACTGAGCCACCCAGGCGCCCCTAAATGTTTATTTTTGAGAGAACACAAGGTGGGGAGGGGCAGAGTAAGTGGGGACAGAGGATTCGAAGCGGGCTGTATGCTGACAGCAGCAAGCCCGTTGTGGGGCTTGAACTCCCGAACCGTGAGATCATGACCTGGGCCGACACTGGACGCTCAACCGACTGAGCCACCCAGGCACCCCACTTAGCATGTTTTTGAGGCTTGTCCATGTTGCGGCATGTATGAATGGTGTGCTCCTTTTTACTGCTGAGTGGTATTCCTCTGTGTGTAATTCGTTTATCCACATAATTTGTTTATCTGGTGATGGACATTTGGATTATTTCTTTAAAAAAAAAATTTTTTTTTAACGTTTATTTTTGAGACAGAGACAGACAGAGCATGAACGGGGGAGGGTCAGAGAGAGAGGAAGACACAGAATCGGAAACAGGCTCCAGGCTCTGAGCGGTCAGCACAGAGCCCGATGCGGAGCTCGAGCTCACGGACTGTGAGATCGTGACCTGAGCTGAAGTCGGCCGCTTAACCGACTGAGCCACCCAGGCGCCCCATTTAGATTATTTCTAAGTTGGACCATACATAAAGAACAAATCTTGTTTTGAACATTCACGTACCAAGTGTGGGGGCATGGTTTCATTTTTCTTGGGTAGACACGTTGGAGAAAAAGTGCTGGCTCATATGGTGCATGTTTAACTTCTGAAGAGCTGCTAAGTTACTTCCAAAGTGGCCACACCATTGTGCATTCCCACAAGCACTGTGTGAGGGTTCCAGTTCCCCCACATCCTCACCAACATTTGATTCTGTCTTTGTGATGACGGCCATCCTAGTGGGTGTGAAATGGTATCATCTCATTGTGGTTTTAATGTGCATCTCCCTAATGGCTAATAATGATGAGCATATTTTCAAGGGCTTATTAGCTATTCATATATATTTTATCTGGTGAGATATCCATTCAGATCTTTTCTTTGTACATTTTTAATAAGTTCTAGAATCGATTTATTTAAAAAGTTGTAGATAGTTCAGAGAGTAAGCTTAGTTTCCCCCTACGGCTAACATCTTAACATTACCGTGGCGTATTTGTCACAACTGAGAAACCAACACTGGCATTAATACTGTGACCTGAACTCCAGACTTCATTAGAGTTGCATTTTCCGGGGTGCCTGGGTGGCTCAGTCCATTAAGTGTCAGACTTCGGCTCCGGTCATGATCTCACGGTTGGTGAGTTCGAGTCCCGTGTCGGGCTCTGGGCTGACATCTTGGAGCCTTGGAGCCTGCTTCGGATTCTGTGCCTCCCTCTCTTTCTGCCCCTCCTCTGCTTGTACTCTGTCTCTCTTTCTCTCAAAAATAAACATTAAAATAAATTTTTTAAAAAGAGAGAATTACATTTTCCACAAATATACTTTTCCTGTTTGGGGGCCTATCCAGAATACATTACATTTTGTCATTACATCTTCTTAGTTTCCTCTGGTCTGTGGCAATTTCTTGGTCTTATTTTTAATAACCTTTGATTTTTTTTTTAAAGATTATATTCTTAAGCAATCTCTATACCCATCGTGAGGCTTGAACTCACAACCCCGAGATCAAGAGTCACATGTTCCACTGATTTAGCCAGCCAGGCACCCCTCACGACCTTCAATTTTGAGGAATGCTGGTTGGGGATCTTATAGAATGTCCTTCAATTTGGATTGAAATTTTTTTTTCTCTTGGTTATACAGGGGTTGTGGATTTTGTGGAAGAATACCATGGAAGTAAAGTGCCATTCTCTTGACATCATACCAGAGGGACACGCTATCAACAGGGATGATATTAGTCCAAATCACTAGACAAGGCAGTGTTTATCGAGCCTCACCACCATAAAGTTCTTTCTTTACTCCTTTCCATGTTCTATTCTTTGGAACCCATTCACTAAGTACAGCCTACTTTTGCCTGTTTGTTTTTTAAATAGCATTGTTTGTCTTACTGAGTTTTAGAAGTTTTTGTGTATCCTAAATAAAAGTTATTTATTAGATATACAACCAGCAAATATTTTCTCCCAGTTTGGGGCTTGTCTTTTCATTTTCTCAATGGTGTCTCCTGAAGAGGAAATTTTCAATTTTTTTTTTTAATATTTATTTTTGAAAGACAGAGAGACAGAGTACAAGCAGGGGAGAGGCATCATGAGAGAGGGAGACACTGAATCCAAAGCAGGCTCCAGGCTGTCAGCACAGAGCCTGATGCGGGGCTTGAACTCACAGACCATGAGATCATGACCTGAGCCAAAGTCAGACGCTTAACCGACTGAGCCACTCAGGCGCCCCAGCTGGTGACATATCTAAAAAACCTTTGCCAAACCCCAAATCGCAAAGACTTTCTCCTATGTTTTCTTCCAGAATTCTTAGGGTTTTAGCTCTTACATGTAGATCCATGATCCATTTTGAGTTAATTTTTGTATAACATGTAAGGTAGGGGTCTAAGTCCATATTTTTGCATATGGATATCCAATTGTTCAAGCAACATTTGTTGGAAAGACCCCACTGAATTGCCTTGGCATCCTGGTAAAAAATCAGTCGACCTCAAATATGAACTATGTATCTGGATTTTCCATTTTGTTCCATTGATTTTATGCTAGTACCACACTGTCTTCTTGATTACTGTAGCTTTATAGTAAGTTTTAAAATCAGGTAAATTCTTCAACTTAGTTTTTCTTTTCAAAAATTTTCTTTTTTGGCTATTGTAGGTCCTTTGCCATTTCCATACAAATCTTAGGATAAGCTTGTCAATTTCTACAGAAAAGCACCCTGGGATTTTATTGGGAGTGCACTGAGTCTATAGATTAATTTGGGGAGAATGGCCATCTTCTTTGTTTTTTTTTTTTAATTTACATCCAAATTAGTTAGCATATAGTGCAACAGTGATTTCAGTAGATTCCTTAATGCCCCTTACCTATTTAGCCCATCCCCCCCTTCCACAACCCCTCCAGTAACCCTGTTTGTTCTCCATATTTAAGAGTCTCTTATGTTGTGTCCCCCTCCCTGTTTCTATATTGTTTTTGTTTCCCTTCCCTTATGTTCATCTGTTTTGTCTCTTAAAGTCCTCATATGAGTGAAGTCATATGATATTTGTCATTCTCTGACTAATTTCGCTTAGCATAATCCCCTCCAGTTCCATCCACATGGTTATAAATGGCAAGGTTTCATTCTTTTTCATTGCTGAGTAGTATTCCATTGTGTGTGTGTGTGTGTGTGTGTGTGTGTGTGTGTGTGTGTGTATACACACCACATCTTCTTTATCCATTCATCCATCGATGGACATTTGGGCTCTTTCCATACTTTGGCTATTGTTGATGGTGCTGCTATAAACATGCATGTGTCCCTTTGAAACAGCACCCCTGTATCCCGTGGATAAATGCCTAGTAGTGCGATGGCTGGGTCGTAGGGTAGTTCTCTTTTTAGTTTTTTGAGGAACCTCCATACTGTTTTCCAGAGCGGCTGCACCAGCTTGCATTCCCAGAGAATGGCCATCTTAATAATACTGAGTCTTCCAACCCATGAACATGTTATAATGTTTCCGTCTATTTAGATCTTCAGCAATGTTCAGTGGTTTGAGTGTACAGGCTTTGCATTTTTGTTAACTAAATTCCAAATACTCCTTTGGGTCCTTTGTTCTGAATGGAATTTTCCTATTTTCAGTTTCAGATTGTTCATTGTTGGTGCATAGAAACACATCTAATTTTTTTTGTTGATCTTCATCCTGACAACTTACCATCTGTGATCATGTTATCTCCGAATAAACACAATTTTACTTCTTCCTTTCCAATCTGAACACCTTCTATTTCTGTTGCCATTTGCACTGAAGACCACCTAGAGTGCGATGTTGAAGTGGTAAGAGGAGATCTATTTGCCTTGTTCCCAACCTTAGGGGGAAAGCATCAGTTTTTCACTACTGAATATGACGCTCGTTTTAGGGTTTCCATAGATGCCTTTCGTTATGTTGAGAAATTTCACTTCACTTTGTTGAGAATTTTTATCATGAATTTTCAATTGCCTATTTCTCCTTTCATGTCTTTGACTCATGTCATTACCACCCTGATGCTGGATGCATATACATTTATAATGGTTATATCTTCCTGATGTATTGATCTCTTACCATCATGAAATGGTCCTCTTTGGATCTGTTAAATAACAAAAATTCAATCAAGTAATTCTATTTCTTTATTTAGATTTTGTTTGTGTAACTACATATTTATTTATTTAAAAAGTAATCTCTGTGCCTAACGTGGGGCTCGAACTCACAATCCTGAGATCAAGAGTCTCATGCTCCACCAACTGAGCCGGCCAGGGCACCCCCAACTAAGGACATTTTAAAGACTTTATTTTATTTTATTTTATTTTATTTTAATTTATTGTATTTATTTTACTTTATTTATGCATGAATCAGTCAGCATCCTGTCTAGCAAGTAGAAGGGAACTCCAAAGGGCCTACAGAAAAGGAAAGCCTTTTTATTTTATTAAAAAAAATTTTTTTTAATGTTTATTTATTTTTGAAGGAGAGAGAGAGCATGAGCGAGGGAGGGGCAGGGAGAGAGGGAGACACAGAATCCGAAGCAGGCTCCAGGCTCTGAGCTGTCAGCACAGAGTCCGACAAAGCTTGCTTGAACCCACTAACTGTGAGATCATGACCTGAGCCGAAGTCGGACGCTCAACCGACTGAGCCACCCAGGCGAGAAAAGAAAAGGCTTTTAAAATTAGGGAGTGGGGAAAAGAGGGCATTTTATTAGCAAAGAAGCCATCGTTTCAGGCAAGGTTGCCCTCCGAAGAGGAACAGAAGGGTGTATCAGTAAACTTCCTGATACTGACTAGGAAATTCCCATGTTAAATGTGACACATCTGGTGGGTTGAAACTGCAGTGAGATTAGGTATTAAGCGTTGGCTTTACAGACTTGGGGCCTTAACCCAAGTGGCACCACTTTGGCCCCATGGTTTCTCCCTAACAATTCCCTCTTTTGATCAGACTCTCAGCTCAGCTGAGAGATGGGCTCCTTAGCTACAGCTCTGTATCTCTCAAAGCTTCTGTTGCTCCTTTGCATGGTATTCCCAGGTCATGACGGTTTTCCTTAATCTCTGTGATCGCCACTGGTTATAGCTTCGGGTTCACAACTTTTTTTTTAAATAAAAAAAAGATTTTATTTTATTTTATTTTTTATTTTTTAAATATGAGATTTATTGTCAAATTGGTTCACAATTTTTAAATTGGTTGTCTTCTTTATTCCTTTCGTGACGCTCCAAGTCTCAGGGAAATCATTTGCTGTGGGTTAGCAGCTGCAAAAATGCATTTAAAGCTTTTGAGAGCATTTAACATACCAGGGAGATTCTTATGATTACTACAAATACGGTAATTTCCGACGTTTGGAGGACACCTCGAAGCCATGGTCCCCGAGACCCAAACCAAAAACCAAATAAGTCAAAGAAAGACCCTGCTGAAGGAGCCGCTCTTTCAGTCAAGTGGCTTGCTCGGTGATTATGTAATCAGGGTTCAACTTCCCCAGAAGTGTTCATCCAGGTGCAGAAGATGGTGTTGGCCAGATACCTCCTTGCTCAGCTAGAAGAGAGTCAAGGGCTATCTTATTATCAAGAACTACTTTGGCCAAAGATAAAAACAGAGAGAGAGGCAAACCATAAGAGACTCTTTAATACAGAGAATAAACGGAGGGTTGGGGTGGGGGGTGTTGGGTGGTGGGGATTGGCTAAATGGGTGATGGGCATTAAGGAGGTCACTTGTTGGGATGAGCACTGGGTATTGTATGTAAGTCACGAATCACTGGGTTCTACTCCTGAAACCAATACTACACTATATGTTAACTAACTTGAATTTAAGTAAAATAAATAAATATGGTATTTAAAAAAAAAATTACTTTGACCAGAAAGTCCTAGAGGATTTCTGTTGGGTAGCTGTTGAACTTCAGCAGCAGATTTTGCAATAATTTTAAGAGTTGAGGGGCGCCTGGGTGGCTCGGTCGGTTGAGCGTCCGACTTCGGCTCAGGTCATGATCTCACGGTCTGTGAGTTCGAGCCCTGCATCGGGCTCTGTGCTGACAGCTTAGAGCCTGGAGCCTGTTTCGGATTCTGTGTCTCCCTCTCTCTCTGCCCCTCCCCTGTTCATGCTCTGCCTCTCTCTGTCTCAAAAATAAATAAACGTTAAAAAAAAAAATTAAAAAAAAAAAAAAAAGAGTTGAGGAGTTCCTGTAGCCTGTTACCTGTATCCCTAACCAGGGAAGCAGGGTCAGGCCAAAAGGAGTGAATCCTGAATCACAGGGGCCTCCTGGTAGGTCCTTTTTGACACACGATGTAAATTTAGGGGAGTTGACCAATGAGACGTCTTATTGTGCTTGTGGTAAGTTAGGAGCATGGTTTGATTTTCTCTGAGCCTGAAATAAAAGCTTGCTCTGAACTTCCAGGTTACCCCAGACGTAGAGATGAGGGCATTCTCTTTCCAGGACAACGTCAGAGTAAAAGAAAGGAAAAGAAGGAGAACGTTCTCACGTTTAAAGTGAGAAGCCTTGATCCGCTGTCTTGGGCAGAACGAGTCTACTGTGGCATCAGCCACTTGTCTTCTTTGCCCTTTGACTCGAGGTCTCCAGAGTCTGTGCAGGACCAGGTATCAGGGGATGCCCTTTTCAGCCGTGGGAGGTGTACCCGAGGCTTAATACCTTCTGGTTTGCAGCAGCGTCCATGGTCGGGGCACTTGGTGAGGTCTCTTCCAGTGGGGCTCGAGAGCTGTCTTCCACGGCTCACGTTTCCACGGCTCACAGGATCCTCTGAATTGGGATCTGGGCAGGCTTTGGTGATAGGCTTGAGTATAAGACAGTAGAGACTGATACTAGTATGCAGAAGGTTGTACAGTGATAGGATTTCAAGAAGTTTACAAGGTTTTCCTTACGGTTCATATGATCTGCCCAGTGAACTGGGTGCCTTGATCACTGGAGATTATAGAAGATATACCCCAAGTGAAAAACGCATTTTTGAACACATTTTGAGC